TGTTCTTTGTTGGATTATCACTCACTTGGTAAACAATTTTATCCAAAGGCTCTTTCCACCATTGTGAAACAGTGCACTTTAACGCTTGAAATTAGCGTAGATACACACACACAAAAAAAAAACAAGACTTGAGTTTGTGAGCACATGATGTTTTGAGGTGTTTGCTTTGCTGCCACAAATTGTCTGAATTTGCAGTAACGATGGATGGCACTCTTAAATTACAACTGTCTCACATACCAATTATCAAGACTATATACAAGCAGCTGAAATCATGAAAGCCTTAAAAAGTCAAGTCAAGTCACCTTTATTTATATAGTGCTTTTAACAATAGTAAGGGAAACAGGTCAATTTAGCTCAAAGGGAATCATTTAAGATTTTAAAGGGATAGGTTAAAATGTATGTAAGGAATTTTAGTCTGTTCTTTGTCTCCTAGGTGGGGGAAAAAGTAAATCCGAAGAGCTTGTGATCACTATCACATGTTTCCATGAGATGGTCACGCTGTGCATCTCTTTTGACCATTATTCTTGATAACTTGCCCCAAAATTGACAATCTCCTTGGAATTGTCAATAAGTGTTCTTACTGATGAAAAACAGCACTAAAATGCAACATTAACATCTGAAGACGGAGCTTTGTGGCTTACAGTATAGTTTGTGAGGCTATATGCAAGAGAACACCTAATAACTGAGTAAATTAATGTTTAGCTGATATGCATTTTACATTTACAGTATTTCTCTCTTTATATATTCATTCATTCTTAAAGTTTTTTGTTTTTTTTTCCTGTTAGGGTGTTAGTTTTAGTATTTATAACTAGTTGTAGCCTATACAAACAAAATAAGTCTATGGAATATCCTCATTTAGATACCTAAGTAAACACGTGTGTGCGTGTTTGTGTGTGTGCTCGCACAGTTGTGTGAAAGATTATAAACTGCTCTTTGGGTGCAGAAGATAAGAATTCAACAGTATGTGGCACCATTCCTTTCCCATAATGCCTTAAAGCATCATTATTCCTTTCAGAGGAGCCTGTATTGTGTTGATAGATTCCCACATCAGTGAACAAGTGCAAAAGCAACAGTGTAGTTAGACTGTGAGAAATTGAAGAACAAAAAAATGGAGCATTCCTAGTTCTAAACACCATTTTAACTTCACCGCTCACAACGAGCACTTGTTTTTTTTATATAGAAAGCCTTTCTGACTCATATTTTTGAGCGAAGTATGAGAAAAACAAACAAGCAATCAAACAAACACCCACAGCATCTGCAGGCACACCTCCACCCATTCCACCTGTGCTAACGTACACATGTGGCCCGTCACACGTGTTTGATGGCAGCGCAGCTTGATTGATTCAACAGCGTGGCTGCTGTTTTTAAATCCCGATCAGATTTGCTTACACTGCCATTTTTATAGCCCACAGCCAACAGCTGACACCGTAGGTACCTCCCCTGCCTGGTTGTGTGTGTGTGTGTGCGCACAAGCCGCCACAAACGCTCTAAGTGCTCCCGTTTAATAACAGACGGTGATAATTTAAGATGCATTGGTGGAGAACAGAGCACAAATCACGGCAGTGACGGCTCCATGGAGACAAAATGGAAGGAAGGGCAGTAGAGAGATAAATCACACCAGGAGGGAGGGAAAAAAAGAAGAGGAGAAGCGGATAGGGATGAAAACAAGGCCTCCCTGCCGCGGTGTGTTTATGTGTGTGTGCGCGTTTGTGTGATCAGTGATGAACAGACTGTGATGTCTCCAGTGAACGCTAGGTACGGCACATGCTCCCTCCTGTACAGTGTTTACAATGATCATTACTGCTTCACTGCCATTATAATGATGACCACAGAGACTAGTCTGGCTCTCCCTTTGAGACGTCTCTCTCTGTCTGTCAATGACCCACTCATACAGAACCTAGCGAGAATGCTGGTGCTTGGACCGGGGAGGTCTGCAATACCTGGAGAAAGCTTACTGTTAGCATTCCTGTTGATCCCAATAGCAGTTGCTCGACTGGCAGGGAAATATAAGACAAAAAAACACATTTTTAAGGATATGTTCATCAAAAGACAAAAACTATGAAGACTTAAACTGGGTAAAAACATTGCATACTTTGATCAGCCCTCTAAAAAGGGCTGCTGGTAAAACATCTACTGTAAAATATTGTAATAGTTGTGAATTATATGTTTGCTTGTCAAAATACTGTACATGAATACCTTTAAATGACTGTCAATGGATGCTTTTTGTGCTCAGGTGTAGTTAAAAAATCTACCTGGGCCATGTTAATCAGTCTAAACTTTATCTCTTTGTTTGGACAGGCGGAGAAAAAAATTACGATAAAAATAAAAATTATATATATATATATATATATATATATATATATAAATACTTTTTTTCCCCACTGTATATATATAAAAGTTCAAGCACATGCCCCACCACACTGCAAGAAAAAAAGGCATTATCTTAAGTTTACTACATTTCTGTAAATCTTAAAACACAATACAATGCTTAATTCAAAATATGAATAAAACACTTGTGAAAATCAATACGGAAAATGCCAAAGTACATTGAGTACTGATACTTTATGGACTTTTCTTAGAGTACATAGGTTCCATGGATGGAAACTGTGCTAATGCTATTTGCAGTGAGTGAACGATTATTGGACAAATGTGAGTTGAAGGACTGGTGAGTAATCATGTATGTGCACTTACTCTCTCTGCCGGAGTGAGTACTGGTAAAGCATATCAGTTGTGGCTGTTTGATCAGATGTTGGTGAGGTAAATAGCCAAACTGCTCCATTTTGCTGACAACCGCCATTTGTTTGGTGGACACTATCTTGTTTACAGGCCTCCACGAGGAGGAAAGAGATAAGGGCATTTTAGAATTAATTAATGCGAGGCATTACTCTTTGCGTCAGCGTCTCTCGCACGTGTAGAATGCGAGAACTTGCTTTAATTAAAATAACGAACAACAGCACCGCCTTCGGAGGAGCGGAGGAGATTGATGCGGAACTTTAGTCCAACTTCATTTCTCAAAAGGAGCGTTCGGGACATCAGGAGTGTGCGCTTTGAAGCCATTCCCACCCAGAAATGACTTTTCTGATGAAGTACAGGGGGAGGCTGGGAACAGATGAAATTCATATTTGAAGAAGTGTGGCAGGCAGGTGGAGATACCATGCAGATCAGTGAGGCAGAGGGAGTTGATTTTAATGGAGCCGCTCTCTCACTCCGCCTTGGAGGTGGCTCTCCGTCGCTCATAAATCATGCTGACCCACTCCTCTGCTCCGTGCGTTTTCTCTCCTTGTCGTAATTTATGGCCCAACGGTCAAATTGCTACAAAAAAGTCTTTCAATTTATAACTTTTAACCTCTGGACTGAAAACGAGAATTGACGGTGAGGCAATTAAAGTGTAAGCAGTTTTTCAACACACAAATACGCACACGGAGAGATGGCTTTTTCCGTCAGCGAGAAGGTGCTTGCCTGAATGACATTATCATATCGATTGTCACACACACTGATGCCAAGGTTTGCTAATATTAGATTAAGTCCCATGTTGCCTGTCGCTCCATTAATGGGGCAATAGCTTGCATTTCCCATTAAAATTTGATGAAAGATTAATAATAATGAACATTACTTACGGGGCAGTCATTACTAAATGTCACACGCTGATTTGCAGTATCGGGCTCCAAAAGCACATTTTTATAGTGTTTAGTTCCTAAATTGAAGTTAATATCCTGTACCTCTTTCATAAGCCAATGTGAGCGGCAGACAGCCAATAAAACGGAGAGCTATTGCGGCCGACAAGAAAAACAGAAATCTACTTTTTATTTGGCCCTCTAAAGTCTCTGATCTGCTCAGCCTGCGTTGACATGCTACTAACAGGACCGAATCTCTCCTGTCAGACACCAGCGGTATGGATGAGTGAGTGAGTGAGTGACTGATTGAATGACTGAAAGAGATTCCTTCACGCAGAGAAAAAAAAAAAGGCTAGGATGAGGAGAAAGAAGAAAGCACCTGAGGTGAGGAAAGGCGAGATCAGAGATGAGGCAAGAGGAGAAAATAGCAGCGCAGATAGAAGAAGAGGAAGATGGAAAGGAAGGGTCAAGAGAAGAGAGCGGCTCAGAATAACTTCTGCTCTTGGCTCTAGTTTGTGTGTGGTGAGTTTGGATAGTAGCCATGTTTTTGGTGGGCGGGATAAGACAGTGTCCCATTTACACAGCGATGAGACCGAGAGCTGATAGAAGCCCCTGCTCATTAAAGTACTGTAACTTTAAACTAAATATAGGAGATGGCAGACTGTATTATAACCTTGTTTAGACATGATTTTGAGGTACTGCGCTGGTGAAACAACCAGCCCTGCCGGCCACCAGCATATGTTGTGTTTGGGATACTGCTGTCTTGCTTAATCAAACTTTCTGGGTCTTTACCACAAAATGTGAGTTGAGCATAATTTTGCATGGAGCATTGTCTAAGGATGCACTATATTAAAATTATGGCTTGTAACTACATGAAAATAATAATAATAATAATTGTTTTTATTGTGTTATGGTTGATATTAAAATCCTAATCTGTTTTTTTAATAAATTTAGAAAAAAAATCTATAAATTTAAATGCTGCAATTTAGGCATCACAACATAATGTATATTACCGTTCAAAAAGTTATGAAGGGTATATAAAAAGATTATTTTTAAATGTTTTTGAAAGAAGTCTCTTATGCTCACAATACTTGCATTTATATGCTGATTTGATACTCAACTAATGTTTTTTTCATTCATACATTCATTCATTAATTCATTGTGGAAACCAGATACTTTTTTTCTCTTTAGGATTCTTTGATGTTTAGAAAGTTCAAAAGAACAACATCGCTTTGAAAGACAAATCATATGAATGTATTTAAATAATAACAATAATAAATCAAACAAAATCTTACTGACCCCAAACTTTTTTAACAATAGTGTACATTATTACAAAAAAATATTCATTATGAAATTTGAATTTATTTTAAATACTAAAAACACCAGCAAAGTAATAACACTGTTAAGTGTAAAAAAAAAATTACTTGAAGCGTTAGATGATGACAGAGGTAATATTAATGTAAAAAAAAAATATATCCAATATGGTACCAATATACATTATTGTGCATCCCTATAGTGCATGCTCTTCAGAAATGCTCAATCACAAGCACAACATATATAACAACACATAATGCAATTGACCATGTGATAACAAAACAATCATAGTACTAACTAGTGGTCTATTAGTCAGAATGAAGAAATTAAGAAAAAAACAGTCATTTTTAATGAATGAAAATTCATGACAGATGAATATGAGTGCGGGAATGATGTGGAATTTAAAGAGACATGAGCGTTCCTTTCACATATGGTAATCTCAAGTGGCTAATACTCTCTTTTTTTTGTCTCTTTGCTCTGTAGATGTGTGTTCAAAATGTCAAATGGTCATATTATCATACATATGCATCAACTTATGTAAATTTGTTCGGGTTTCAATTCTTATTAAAGGGTGATTTGCCCAGCTGGACGTCTCTTATATGTAGTCTTACCTAAAGTGTGATGTAAAAACGTTCAGCATATTGATCGGTCAGCAGACTCTGAGAGGTGACAGCATATAGTGTTTATCATCTGGCCTTGATTGCTCAGCCAGATGGCTGCAGTGACGTGCAGAACACACATCACACACAGGCTCATCACCCGCTCTCTCTTTTTCACACACACTTTCTTGCACACACCCACACACCAACTCCTTGTGCTCTTTATGCATACTCTGATACACTTTCTCAATATGCCAGTTGTCATTGCAAGTTACTGTGGCAGCATTTTGCCAGCTGCTTACCCATCCGTTGTAGCTTTTATCTTTTTTCTCTTCTTGGTTCTCAGTCCGAGGTCACATGTGTCAGACACTTCCCCATTAATCTTAATTCTGTCAGGTGTAATGCTCTGTAATACTTCTCTTCTTTCATGTCCGTCTTTTTTTGTAATCGCTGCAGGGTTGGGCAAAATTCTGAATTTAAAAATGGTTTGCCTTTCAGTTCATGAGTTGGAATTTGAACTGAAATCACATGAAATTTAAATTGCTGAATTGCAATTCAGATAAATTAAACATGGTCACACAACAAAGGCATTTCATTAGTTATGCAATAAATCAAAAATAATTACATCTGCAAGGTGCACTCAATAATGTTTTGTACAAATTACACTGATATGGTAATGGACTGTGACCTAGCAGCAATTATTAATTTATTTCACTATCAAAAGTGTCTGATAATGGGGCTACTGAGATGAAGCAAATTGTCTCAGATGGTCATGTGATCTTTACAGTTTTGACCCTTTGAGACATCCTGCTACATGTGAATCACATCACATGAGAGTTTTATCTATATTAAACAGATATCACAAAAGTGCTATTCACTTCTTTATCTGATGCTTTTTAATGAGGAAAAAATGGTTGATATTCTTAATTCTGACTAATTATTCCTGTTTATACCCTGAGCTGTATACTTTTTTTGTAACTGATTAATTAACACAAGTCAAAACATTGAAAAATATTTTATATATGATTTAGAAAATAAAACAAACAAGCAAACAAAAAACTATATGACTTTTTTCTCAGAATTGCGACATCATATCTTGCAATTCAGTTTATATCTTTTTTCCCTCGTTAACTCACAATGGTGAGAAAAAAAGTGAACTGTGAGATATAAACTTGAAATTGCGAGAAAAAAACTTTAATTGAGAGATTAAAAGTCACAGTTACTTTTTATTTTATTTTTTATACTGTGGTGGAGAAAACGCCTCAGGTTACGTATGTAACCCTAGTTCCTCGAGGAAATGTGTAAAAAAGAAGTATGAATTGCAAGATGTAAACTCGTAATGATGAGTATATAAACTCATAATTGCTTTTGTTTATAGTTTTATTCTGTGGTTGAAATAAGCTTCTAAACAACCCTTATATGATTGCATAAATTAAGCGTATAGCGTAAGTTCTGGCAGGTCAAGTGAGTCAAGATTGCATCAGTTGACTCTCAGCTGATCACATCTACCTATAGGAATGCATCTACCTATACGTCACATATCACGACATTCCTATATAAGCTCTATTCAGTATTATTGAGCAGCTTTTTCGCTTGCTCAGGAGCAAATTACCCTCCTCCATCCCCAACTCCTCCTTTCGCCACAGTCAGGACTTGGCTTTCTGATATTCCTTGTTGAATCAGACTCCTTTATCTTGAATAATGTGTTACACTAAAATATCATTAAGTACATTAATGATATCTGCTTGCTCTGTTCTGTTTACCCTATAGGGGGGTTATTATTGCTGCTCTCCCTGCTCATTCATGATAGGCTGCATGGACGGGCAGGGAGTTATTGCCCAGAACAGAACCATACCGCCAACCCAAACTGCATGCTAAGTGTCTATCATTTTGACGATAGGGTTTTCCTGACAGAAATCCGATTCATTTTGTCAGGTTTATATGTAGAAAAGGCTTGATTGTGTTAGGTTAGTTCCTGTTTTGCTGTGCTTGCCTATACTTTAGGATGTTGTTGTTTTCTGTTTAGGGCATCCTAGCGATCTGGCACCCCAAGATTAAAAAATATGCTAAAATATTTATGAAATTGCATTCATGTTGAACCCACATTTCAAGCAGTGCGCGAGCGAAAGATCACCAATCAAACACTGCGACCTGGAAGAACATTCAGATAGAATACTCAACATGATCCTCACCCCAAAACCAGTCGTCTCAGGAGGGTGACCTACTTTTATGCTCTCTTAGTTTTAATAGGGGCTCACAAGCTGTCACCCCGCTTTTTCATCGCAAAGAATTACGTTACAATAAAACTTCCGAGCAGAATTTTGTTTGTCTCACTGATCTCACAGACACCCTCTGATCTGTAAAAAAGTTCTCTGTCAGCGAAGCAGAGTTATATTTGTGTTATGTCAGATGTTCAGCATTGTTCTGTCTCGCATAATTTGACTGCATTTACACAAACAAGAGTTACAGCAGCTCTGGACTCCTGGATGCCAATTTGAACCTGCTCTTGCTGTGAATTGACACATTCACGGTGGTAGACGTTTGTTCCGAGAGCACCATGACACCAGTTGTAATGAGAATACATGGTATCTGGTTGCTGAGGTTCTCGCACATCAAAAGTACAATTGGTTTTGAGCCTTTGGAAGGTCACATTGCAATGCTGTCCCACTTTACTGACACAATTAAACATTGTTAGGATGGCTGCTCTAAAAAAACGCACACTCTGCCCCGCACACACAAGTCACTTCTTGTTTTTCCTTCTGCTTCTTTTCATTTCTTTCATATTGGCTGAAAAGCTTTACAAAGTCATTAGGAAGGAAGTGGCCCTGAGGAGCTATGACATCCACCTTCCCTATAGTTTATCTCAGAAAATAGAAAGATGTGGCTTTTTCCTCTGTGAATTGTTATTAAAAATAATAATCTGTCAATTGCAATGTTACATTTGACAGACACTTTCATTGTAGGTTTTGTTGGTAATAAGAAAACAATGTAGTTTTGGCACATCTTCGGCATCCAGCATAGAGTGTTTGTCTTCAGTTAAGTTGTGTTTAAACTCTTCATTCATTCATTTTAAATGGCTGATAGCTGATATGTATATATATATATATATTTTTTTTTTTTTGAAGGCAGTGGTCGGGTCGTTTACGTGGTTATGAAGAATGTATCAATGGCTAAACTAAACACACAATGATTAGCATCCATGCAGAGCAGGCAAACTTTATATACACAATTATTTGCTGTCTAATAGAGGTCAGAGAGAGATGGTGAGGGAACGGTTGCAAAAGATAAAGAGACTAGTTTGTCCTCTATTTGTGAGTAATTAATGTCTTCACTTTGCCAAACCATTTAGCCAGATATCTACATGGGGACCTTACACAAATTTGTTGAAGGGGGATGCCTTCCTCAGATAAGAGTGATATTGAACTATCTGTGAATGAGATTACCATCAAGGGCTTCAGAGTTAATCAGCATATCGATTCGAATGGCGTTTAGTATGCTAATCAGGGTGAGGTGTGCCACTCCCTCTCTTTACAGGCGCACAGAGGCAGACAGAGAGGAATGGAGAAAATACATTATCTATCGCAGTACATTGCACAGTACTTTCCATGACCTTTACAAGGTTGTGAAACAACGGCCTGACTTAACAGATATAGATGACTTCATTAAAGAGCTTAAAGAGAACATTTCCACACACGTCTTGGGCATGTAATTGATGGTATGTATGAGTCTGCATGGGTTTATGTTAGTGTTGCAGCTATGGGTACTTTTATGCACTTCAGTGGGTTGACTTTTATTAAAACTAACAGATTATTTTCCTTTTTTTCTTTTTTATATGAAGGTTAAATTTAGAAGTGTTAAAAAGTGTTTGAATTAATTTACCATGCCTTCTTCATTTATTGCTGCTACTTTATAATATGTTTAGGTTTTGTTTTACCCATATTCCCTGACCCACACTTTCTGTTACAGAGGAGGCTTCCGTACCGCCTCCTCCTCCCCACCAGAGGAAACTCTCTCCTGAATATTGACTTTATCCATTCGAACTCTAGTTCCCATCATGCCTCATACCTGGGACTGATTGCACACCTGCATTAATCACGCACACACACATTTAAGCCAAACACTCACAGCAACTCATTGCGAAGTCTTGATTTGCCCTGGCTGTCACTTCTGAGCGTTTCCCGTGTATCTTGCCTACTCGTTTGACCTTGGACTGTTTATCGTACTCTGATCTGTCTCTGCCTGCCCTGACTTGGATTGTTCTACTACTGTGTTTGTCTGCCGCCTGCCTCGACCTCCTGCCCATCCCACGTTCTGTCTCAGCCTAGCCTCCGCTATTGTATCTACTGGTGATTGACCCTGTCTTGTCTGGTTACGCAATAAAAATGCTGCAAATGGATCCCGACTCTGATGATGATTCGCAACACTTTCAATCTTAAAGTGAAAATATAAATTCTGTCATCATTTACTCACCTCTGTGTTGTTTCAACATATATTCTTCATTTTGATGTTTTGGACTATTTTTGTACATAAAATTGGGTTAAAAACAACACTCTGAAAAAATAAATAAATATATTTTTTTATTATTAAAAGTAAAAAATTATTAAATCGCCATGAGAAATATTCAAAACTAATGTAATACAGAAATTGCTAAGTTAAGACATGACCATTGGACAGCAAAATGCTCATTGGGTCAGCGGGGATCAGAAGAAGAAGGGAAAAAAAGCAGGTGGAGAAGAAAAGACACATTAACTGCAAAAGAATGAATAATTAATGTGAAGAATTAGGTGTAAAACCATCAGGAAGCATTTAGTCTCCAGCGCCACCATTTTCCAGAACTGCAACCTACCTTGAGTCTCCAGAATTACAAGGTGTCAGGTTCTCAGAGACTTTGCTTGGGTAAAAATTCCTAAAATATGACCCTCACTTAATAAGAATAACATGCTGAAGTGATGTGAAATACCTGAAGACTTTAAGACTTTTATAAGTTGAGAGTGACTCTTCAAGGACCAGCATCACATCCTCTTGTACCACGTGCACTGTTTGAAGAATTTATCTTCCAGAATCTGGCAGTACGTTTTAGGAGCTAATTGTAGTAAATATCTGCAAGACAGATTTTTCAGGATGTGAGATGGGCTATAAATGAGCTCCTAACACCTTGCACTTCTGGAGACTCAAGGTAGGTTGCAGCTGTGGAAAATTATGGGGCTGGAGACTAGTGATGGGAAGTTCGGATAATTTTACCGACTCGGACCTTTGAGTCTCGTTCAGCAAAATTAACAAATCTTTTTTTCGAGTTATTTCATTCATTTTAGCAAAATATAATTAAAATGTTACGTGTTAGCTACTTCCCTAACACGTCTACTAGGCCTACTTACACAAACGTTGATCACACTACAAACAATACAAAACTATAATGCTGTAAGAAACAGATAAGATTAATAAATTGTTTACCTTCAGTCTATGATTAGCTCACCTCACCTCTTATCTGACAAGTCTTCTGGTTTGAGACTATGCAGTCTGAGCCGGAAAGAGAATTGATTAGTTCATCTCTCGAGTCTTTCGAATCATTCGTTCTTTTGTCACGTGATGTGACAGCAATGGATAGAGAAATTAGTTAATTTACAAGCTTCCTTACAAACGGGTACATAGTTATTATTATTATTATTATTATTATTATCATTATTATTTACTCTTAAGCCTGTGTTATACTTTCCGCATGAGCAATTCGGACGCATACATGGACAGCGCAGACACGGACTACTTGTATTTATATTACCGAAAGCATACGCTGATGGTCCGCTCCGCAACAAACATGTGAACAAACAATTGCCCAGAATTATTGCACATTTGGCTTTCTTTATTTAGTGTTATCGACGGATTGTACAGGTTTGAGTAGAAATGGGCTTCTTCACACAGCCTGCGCATGTGCAGTTGGTGCTTTTGTAGCCTACTGACCTACTGTCACAAAAAATGGAAGGCATGCGGATTTCTGCACAGAGCCTCCGCGCACATTCACCGATGACGATTTTTACGTCACGCGTACCATAGCGGACCCTAGCGGATTCGCGGACGCGGAAAGTCTAACACAGGCTTTACAGTTATGTGATGCGTTTCTGGTCTCAAATTGTAACTTTTTACTCCTTACAGTTTATAAATGTATGAATTTTTTTATTTTTTTTTTGTTTGTTTTTAGATTTTTTGAAATGACATTACAAATGTTGGATGACAGCATAAATACCAAGAAAAAGAAAAAGAAAAGAAAAGAAAAAAAGAACAAAACAAGCAAAGGACACAAGTACAGCAAGTAATTAATGCTTCAGGGTAACTTAAAAGAAACATACAAATAAACCCTAGGCAGCAAATTACCACACAGAATAATGCATCATCAATTTAAAACAATTATTTTAGAGCTTGGGCTATACTACTCCAATAAGTGACAGTTTGTATTCTAGCCCCATTAATCCTTGCAGTGCTGCGAAAAAGTCTTGGCCCCCTTCCTGATTTCTTGTTTTTTTGCATGTTTGTCACACTTTAATGTTTCAGATCATCATACAAATTTAAATATTAGTCAAAGATAACACAAGTAAACACAATATGCAGTTTTTAAATTTTTCACACCACTGTAATGAAAAGAAAGCAGCCAGAATCTTCTAAGATCCATGTCAGAAGTGAACCATTGCTGTGCAATTGTTTTTTTAGCAGCAGTGAAACCAGACATTAACAATCTTCTCTGAACTAATATAAAGTTGTAGGAAGAATCATAATTTAACAACATAAGACAATATTTACTTTGTGATATGTTTTAGTACTTGAACTACATGTTTCCAAAAATTGGATATAACTGAGCAGTCCCAAAACATATGCAAAAAAGTACCTTTAGAGCTATTGTTACACAGACTGCAATTAGGATTCGATGATAATTTCATCAAGTATCGCTTATATGGGGTACAATACATTTTGTGTACAGTTTTGAAATGAATAAGAATGTGCGAGGGTTTTTTGGAGGTAAGACAGAGATTTGACCAAACTGTATTCCAATAAGGACTATAGCCCAACCATGAGAGTTCTCTCTCCCACACAGCTAATACCTTCAGGGTCTTTTATGAAGATTCAAGTAGTTGTTTATAGATCAATGAGACTGTGCCATGAATTTTTCCAGTAGTTTTGAACCACTTTAACAATGGGTGATCATCTAGGCTAGAATTCCAGGGTACCCCATATGCTTTCATTGTAGACCTCAACTTCAAGTACATAAAAAAGGAGGTACCTGGCAAAGAATAATCTGCTTGAATATCCTGAAATGTGCGCAATCCACTACCATTAAATATATCACCAAATGTGAGCACACCTTTTAAGGACCAGGAAGGGTAAATGAAAGGCTGATTAACAGATAATAGGCGGGCATTGTTCCAGAGAGGAGACTGACGTGGGATTTTTTTACCGTGACCTGTAATCTTTTCTGCATTGAACCAAGCTTTTAAAGTAGTTGAAATAATATTTCCGAACTTCTGATGTAAACTTCTTGAACCTACACCAGTAAAAGGCAGATCTTGAAGTCTATGGGGAAGAACACGGTCAGACTCAATGCTTCTCCAGGGTACTTTGGAGTGAGTGTCCACCCAGACACGCATGGCCCTAGTTTGGAAAGTAAGGTAGTAAAGCATTAAATTAGACTGCCATGCGGTTTTGTACGCTGTAATACTGAAAGACTGACTCTAGGATGCTTACCGCCCCAGATTAATTTAGAGATTAATGAATTAATTTCTTTGAAAAATTTTGGGGGAGGAAAAGTAAAAAGTGAACTCTGGGTAAAATATTCATTTTAACTGTGCTAATTGTAGCTTGCATTGACATTTTAAAGTTGTCCCACCTCTGTATGTCCCGCTTAATTTTCTGACTGATTCCAGAAAAATTTGTCTGAGCAATCCTAGACAAAGTATCAGCAATTTTAATACCAAGATAGGTGCATGAATTAGCAAAGACAAGGCCACTAGGTAGAGATGCTGCTTTAGTAATGCTATTAAGTGCCATTAAGGATGACTTATCCCAATTTATTTTATAACCAGACATAGTGCTAAAGGAGTTGAACAAATGCAAGACCTCTGGTAGAGAGGTATTTAAGTCTGAAAGATAAAGCATAATGTCATCAGCATACAATGAGATGTGGTGATGTGAGTTGTTAATAGTTATAGGTGTTATTGTTTGGCTTTGTCTAAGAGCTTGTGCGAGAGGCTCTAGTGAGAGTGCAAATAAAATTGGTGATAAGGGACAACCTTGCCGGCAACCTCTTTGAAAGAAAGGTTGTGATTGACAGAAATCTGTTGTTACGGAAGCAGAAGGACCTTTATATAGCAATCGTATAATATTTAGGAACTTGGGGCCAAATCCAAATCGCCCCAGAACAGCCCACAGAGTCCCATTCAAATGTACGAGTTTTTGTCATGATGGTTCTTTTCCATAACACTGAATGTTGTAACAAAGGTAATAAAGAGTTGGTTATTATTATTATTAAGACTCTTTCCGACTCAGACTGCATAGGTTAAGCTTATGGGTCTGTCACGTGATGAACGAACAACTCAAAAACCCGAAGACTCGAGAGATGAACTAATCAATTCTCTTTCCGGATCAGACTGCATTGGTTAAGCTTATGGGTCTGTCACGTGATGAACGAATGACTCAAAAAACCAGAAGACTCGAAACAGGTGAACTACTTGACTAATTCCAGTACAGAACCTATAGGATGTTACACATGGGGATTTAATATTTTTTTACTTTCAGTCTGAGATAAATCTTTTTTTTTTTTTGGCTCATTTTATCTGTAAAAGAAAATGTGCCTATTAATTCTGCACACCTGAATATATATATATATATATATATATATATATATATATATATATATATATATACATACCTATACATATATATATATATATATTGTCACCTGAAATAAAATAAACATTAATTGAAATAATAAAAAAAAAATCTTAAACTTATTTTATTTCAGCAAGTTGCCAAGGCAACATCTCTCAGTTAGTTGAACAATGTACTAAAATAACTAAAAAAAAAAACAAAAACAAAAAAAACTTATATATATATATATATATAACTAAAAAAAAAATAAAAAAATTTTTGTCACCTGAAATACCTCACGTAGTGAGTTTACTTGCACAAAACAGAGTAACAACCTCTCTCCAAATTTTCACAGTTATACACCAACTATGCAAACAGGCAACAACTAGCACACATGCTATTGTCTGGGGCAGGCGAAAAGAACAATCTCCAGAGGCCAAGAAGACCTACTTCACACCGAGTTTCCAGCTTTATCCACACACTCTCCCTCCAGCAGCCAATCAGAGCGAGTCAGTAGTTGATGACAATTAGGACCAGGTGATCTTCATCAAGCTTTGCATGGAGTAGAGAGAAGAGAGAGAGCGAGAGCGAGAGCGAAAACAAAACACTGCCAAAAGACAAACTGATCAACAATTAAATACTGTCCAAATATAACACCAAGGAAACCAATACAAATAATTACGCCTTGGGACGTAACAATATATATATATATATATATATATATATATATATATATATAAATATGTCCTTGCCTAGACAGGAGTCTACCTTTTAAAGGGTTAAAAGTGTCCATATTTGAAAAATCAAACCATTTGCATTATGATGTTAAAGTCACTAAGGTGTTGTTTATGAACGTGAACTCACACACATGCACAAACACTAGAGTCTAATTTGTCTGCGAGTCTGCTCAATAAAGATAAAGGAGCTTCTAGCGGCTGAAAATGAATTTGTCACACTGGTATCGCCAGCCATGTCCACTAATTTGCTCATGCATTCCTTTAATAAGCACAGTCTCATCCAGTGTCTCAGACAACTCTAAATCTTCATTACATATACTGTATATATGTTGCTAAGTAGAAACCACCCTTATTCACAGAAACAAATATGAAGCCCATTAGCTACAGAAACAAGCTTTATAACCACATTTACCAGAGTAAAATGTGATTGAGAATATATTAGATTTACAGCAGATCTGTTTGACACAGTCCCTATGTGCGCTGACGTTTGAGGATTTCACAGCTAAAGCTCGTACACACAAAAGCCGCGCACCAGAAGATGGATTGCAACATTCAAAGACGCCTACGAAAGGGGTCATATGACAAAGGATTTGCTCTCTTTGAGCTAATAAGCGCAAGAAAGTATGAGAAATGAAAGCAAATGACTTTGAGGATTTAAAGCAAGGAGGGACGTCCTTAATCACAAACGATTCCCCTCCCTGCGCCACTGTGGGTCTTTCTTCTTCATCCTCAGCCTCTTGCTTTCTTCCTCATCCCTCTCTTAATTCCTCTCCCCTGTGTTCCAGAGAGGGAGAGAGGATCTCTCAGGGGGTTCGCACATCTGCTTTGATCAGGGTGTCAGCGTGAGTGTTTCTGTGTGTTTCTCGTCGACGCGTGTGTGTGCTAAGTAAATCATTTACACTATGACTACCCCGCTAGCTTTCAGGCCTCTTTAAAGACTTACATCATGCAGTGCCACAAGGACATTTTCTGAATCCAGCATCTGCGGGATTGACAATGGTTCGGATGGCCCCCTGTGGCGTTCCTGCTTGCTCTCTGTCATTAAACACTTCCTCTCTAGAGGAACAGCCCAGGAATGAACAAATCTGATGTCATATCTATAAACATTGGGTAATTTGAGTTATCTTTGATACAGAGCATGTGTGTATCCAAGGATCTTGCCATATTAGGGCCGTCTGGATGCGTTATTGAGAGACGTGTAACTGACAGGCAAGTCAGCAACATGGTGCAACACCTTGTACTCCTGTTAAAACAGACTTTTGGCTCCCGAAAACAGCAGTAAATTGACTTTACAGAGTTTGGTTCCAAAACCAAACTAGATCCCTAAAGCAGTGGTTTGTTCAGAAAATGTATGTTTTTATTTATTTATTTTTATTTATAACTATTTATATAATTACTATTTTTTTTAGGCGGCTTATGAGCTGTTTGAGGAATTACCGTTCCTTATTCTAATTCAGTGCTTAATAGCCTAAGAAAAACACTGAAATCCATCACAAAATCAGCTCATCACACATTGTTGTCTTGCTTATGGCTTTCAGCGCTGTCGTTTGAATGCTGTTGGCTTAATCAGTGGGTGTAGGCTGTCTCACAGTATACTTGTATCACTTTCTGGTTCCAAAATTTCAATTGATGTAAATGGTTTAGGTGAAAAATAGATTCCTGTTGTCTCTATTGCCAGTTTTAGATCAGTTGTGTTTTATGTACACAACCGTAAAAAAATATTTATATAGGGTCCATTCAGTAGTTTTTCAGTGCCTGTCAAAAATTCCCTATTTGGAGAGGCTAAAGTTCCACCCATGAAAAGATCCACTTTCGCTAAAAAACTGTAAGATTGTCAAAGAAAGATGCTGAATTTCTGTAGTGTTACTAATAATTTTCTATAATTAAGGAATAGATTTGTTGCCAAGGATGTACAAAATGGTCCCCCACTGATTGTTCTAATCACATTGGTGATTCATTTATGAAATGTCTGGACTCACATTTTGTAGCTCCAAGATGTACAGCACACTATCCTAGAAACGAAATAATACAAAAGATTTTATAAAATACCAGAGAGATTATGAAATGCCAAAAGTGCTTAAATTAACAGAAAATTGTTACTCAATTTGTTACCCAAAGTGCTTATTTTAAATAAGTATGCTCTTAAAAGCTGATAACTTAAAAAAAAAATACAGTGCTGTCAAAAGTATTTGCAAATGGGGACAATATTTGCTGTATTTTGCCAAGTGGGGGTATAGGCATTTTAGCTACCTTTTTACATGATTTTTATTAAAAACAAACAAGCATTTTTTTTCATATATATATATATATATGTGTGTGTTATGTTCTTCCATCAATATTGAATAAAATGCTTTGGATAACAATGTTTGTAAAATAAATACAATATATCTAATTTAGATGCATAGAGCAGTACATTTAGATGCATATAACTTATTTCTTGCAAATATTTTAATAACAATAATTCTCTCCCTAACACTTAACTAATTCCAATTATCATTTCCTTTCATTGTTAATTATAATTAAACAAATTTGAAACATACTTTGTTTTGATA